GGAGAGACAATTATATGTAGATTTCCATTCATTTCATTTTAATTTAGTTATTTTATGTGTATAAATATATACCCAGGTGGCCCTTGTGTCACTGGACCTGCAAAGGTCAGGATAAAGCATCAGGTCCCCTGAAACTGGAGTTGCATATGGTTGCTAGCTTTGATGTGGGTGCTGAGAATCACAAGAGTATCAAATGCATCAACCACTGAGCCTGTTATTCAAACATGCATGGACAATTTAACACGCTTTCACAAGCTCCTTACCTCCGCCATGCTCGAACTGATCAATCCAGTCTGTGTGTGTCCAGCTAAATGAAGGATTTTGCTGCAATGATGTGGTAGAGGCTTACACATATTCTGGAAGCTTGAGGAATACCGAAACTTTAGAAATAGAAAGTTCAGGATTCACAAGAACCTGCATTGTGACCACACACTGTGGATTAAAATTCTGGCTTTCTCAATTCGTATGTTCATCATGTTAAGGATATTATTTGGTTTCTTTAAAAAGTGTTTTTCATATGTAAATACAATATAGGCATATATTGGGCAGTCAGTGAACTGACAGGTGTAGTGCCTAGGGAAGTGCCCAGCATGCTTTAAAGACCCATTTTCTAAAAGCAGTCATTAATGTTAGTGTTATGCCTCATGTCTGCTTTGTCCACAATTCTCATGTTCTATGGTTTACATTGGATCTAGGGAAGGGGAAGTTCACAAGAAATGAAATCATGGTAAAGAAGGAAAGAGTGCTTCATCCACAAGCACTGTAGTCACTAGGAGTTACACAGCTCAGATCGAAGTTCCCAGTCCTTGGAGGGAAAAACACACAAAGATTGTGCAGAAGCTGTGGGAACCGGAGCTTCCTCCTCCAGGCTACAGTGCAGGTCCCCCTGTCTCCTGCTCTGCCTGTCCTGTGTAATGAGCAGCTCTGGCCCAGTGGCCACACACACTGTCCACATGGCTGTTGCAGCCATCCTGGATTGCAGGTAGGAAATGATAGACCATCTTCTCCCTGAATCCTGACACTTCCCTCTCCCAGAGTGACAGGGAGCCCACATCCTTGTCTCCTGCATCTCTGCCCTCCACAGATTTCTGTCCACACCAAAGACAGCTCCACCCCACCATGACACGCAGCACTCACCATGCAGTCTGTGCAGCAGCTCAGGGTGGGTGTCCTCACGGCACCAGCCAGGCCCTGTTTATCAACCTGAGACCTTAACTCAAGGGAGGTGTCAAGATGTCACCATCAGGAGTTTGGCTTCATCAGGGGAAAAGGCTCCTCCTGCACATCTCCATCCCTGAGGCCGCTCTGCCTTCTCCCTGGTGCTCTGTCATTTCCTGAACCCAGGAACTTGCTGATTGTAATTATGGTCTCTGTGAGTAAGGAGAAGTAGGGGTCAGGCATTTGAACTTAACTCCAGTCTGTCCTCATGCCTCAATTTACCTCCTTAACCAAGAACTGCTTTGGAAGAAATATCTGATACTCCAAAGTGATCACTTTCTGAATAATTTTCAAACATATTCTTTATTAATAACAAAAGATCATTTAGTGCTACAGGCAAGGGCTACGGTCAGTGTCATGTTTAGGATAATCAGCAGGAGACTGTGGGAGCCTCTGTGCTCTTAGTACTGTTTTGAGTGTCTGCTGCATGCTTTACAGTCAGTCCTGAGTATTTTTGTTTTTGTTTTACTTCTGTACTATTTTCTTCTTATTATTTAAATTTTTTATACAATATATTTTGATCCTGTCATTCTGTTCCCCCAACACCTCCTGCTTCCTCCACACCTTCCTATGTATCTAACTCTATATTTGCTCTTTTATGCTCTCTCCCACAAAAATAACAAAACAAAACAAAACCCTGAATAAAAGTAAATGAAAGGAATCAAAATAAAATTAAAAAAAAAAAAAAGCCCAAACAAAATGAAACAAAAAGGCCACAAAACAAAATTGTGGAGTTCATTTTATGTTACATAACTATTTCTGGGCATGGGACCTGTCCTGGAGTATGGCTGAGTGTGACTCAGAAGTATTAATACAGAAGTGAAAAACTCAAATATATACAGTAAGGGAAGAGAGAACCAGGAGGAGTGTAAATCTCTGCATCAATTCTAGTCTGTTCTTAAATATAGGAAATCAGTAAAAGCATCGCAAGTCTTTCAAAGAGGCTTGACCAAATAACGTATTGTCAAAACTATGCAATCTACCCAAATATATTTTGGGTTCTGTTTGAGAAAAATCAAAAGCAAATCATCATTCATTTGGGAGCCAGGATCTTTTCTAGGTCTCTGCAACAGAGGCTAGCAACAA